AAGTTTTGAAATGAATTCGAGACGAGTAACAGAGAATTGAAAATAATTTGGGAAATTTTGAGCTCTGTTACGCCAGCAACGCAAAGGACGGAAATCGCATTCAGAAAATGCTAAAATTAGGTACTTTTCAGGTGCTTTTTAGGTAACGAAGTCAAAAATTAGGTGCTCTTTAACTTACACCACAACTCAATAGGTACTCGAAGTTGCGTTGCTAGCATTATGTGATGCTAGCAACGCAATGAAAATAATAATAATAAAATAATTAATATTAAGGAAACACTATTTGGTGCTAATTAAGTGCTAAACGGTGAGGATCGTAAAAGTTTTTAATTAATAAACAAAGCTTTCAATTTCGCTAAACAACAGATCTAAGAATCAGGTCTCTCGAAAACGAGGACGAATGCTCTATCAGGTATAAACTAAGCGTGGTAATGAAGTGCTCATTAGGTGCTTGCAATAAATTAAGATGAAAACGACCGGGAATGAGCGAAAAAAAAATTCGAGATACCTGATTTGAGAAAAAAAATTAATTAAAATGGAATAGTTTTGAGATACTCGTAAACTAATACATAGACAATCAAAGTAAAGTGCTAATTAAGTGCTCACTAGATATTCATAGTGAAACTAATTTCTTTAATCCCTATGGGGCTCGTGGACCTGAAAACCTCAATGACTGATGTACTGAGTTTTTATAGTACATTATTTAATGAATAAGGGCAAGAAATTAAAGTGCTAATTAGGTGCTCACTAGATAAATAATAGTAAACCTAGATTCCATAATGCCTATGGGTCGGTACCGGTACCGACTGGCCGGTCGGTGGCCGGGCGGCTAATTTTTGACTTCGGTACCTATCAAGCACCTAAAAAGTACCTAATTTTGGCATTTTCTAAATGCAATTTCCGTACTTTGCGCTCGCTAAAGAGTGAAATATTTTGTTCGAAACACTCTATTGATTTCTGACCTGCAAATAGCTTGGCTCATATTTTGGGTTTTTCGTCTACCCTTCTCAAGCCCAACTTGCATTACGCATCCGATCTACCTGTCGATATCATTAAAGTACGTACCATACACATAGATAGCAACATTACGTGTAGCCTTCTACAGCGACAGACCGTCTCATACGATATACGAATTTGCTGTTGATGTTGATCCTGGTTACGCAATCGATGAAATACCCAATCATCTCATTTTTCTATCCATTTCTCATACAAACGAAATAAACAACATTACATTACGAGTGCTCGACCATACTCATTGATTTTCGAAACGAAGAAATAATAATTCGCTTGGAATTGAAGCGAAAGTATGGTACTGGCTATCTATAAGAATTACTCATCACCAACCGGCACGTCAGTCTTCACCAAGACCTTCAAACATTGTCAACGACAACTGTCAACGGAGAATAAATTATTCCTGAGATCTCTGGGTTATTATGTTGTCCAATCAAGTGTTCAGTTTCCGAAAACCGCAAAACGATGAGTCCATACAAAAGGTAGAATGGGGGACCTACTACCCGTATGTCAAATCTTTTCGCAATAATGACGTCATTGAAATCAACATTAATCAATCCGATGCCTATGATGCTGTGTACGATAGCCTGCTATTCATCAGCGGAAAAGTTGAGAGAATTAAAGGAGATGGTCGGGTAATCTTTGTAAACAATGCTGGAGGTTTCATGTTTCAATCTGCTACCTACGAGCAGAATGGAAAAGAATTGAAAGCGGTTCGTGAAGTTGGAATTAGTGCTGTCAGAGGCTTCCTCGCCTACACTGATGAAGATATCAAGCACTTGGCCATCTCAGGATGGACATACCCCAACAGCTTCGGCATCATTCAATGTGTATTCTCAAAGTTCAACATACTTAAACTCATCAAGCATTTCCTGAATATTTTCAATAATTATCAGTGTGTTTCCTACGGTAAATACACCATTCGATTAGTACGAGCTGAAGATGATAGCAACTGTTTCAAAATAGATGAGGCTTCTGGTATGCCAAAAACGGAAGTTAAGCTAGAAATTGAAAATATCGAACTGAAAGTTAAACGAATCTTCCCTCATGATCAAATCAAATTGCAACTTTTGAAAGCTATCCAAACCGACACTCCTATTCTCATACCGTTCAGAAAATCGGAACTTGGGAATATGCTGCCTGCTCTCACACAAGGGGCAAAAAATGAAATATGTGCCGTCAAGACTTCCTCGTTTCTCGAAAGCTCTCGCTATGTGATTGTATGTTTCCAAAAATATCGTGATTACACTAAAGTCAACAATGATCCAACACAATTCAACCATATAAATATCACCAATATAACGTTGACTCTAAACGGTGAAAATTACCCCAAAGAAAATATGCATCTGAATTTTGAGAAAATGAATTGTTTGCAAGCATATTTCAACTACGCACAATTCGGTTTCAGCTACAAAATAACAAATCAACATCAATACCGCATCAATACCCTCTCATCAATACCGCAGACTTCACAAAAAAATCTCTCTTCGTCATCGATTGTTCCAGAAGGGACGAAAGCATCAAAAGTTTCAGTGTTGATGTCAAACTTGAAATCGAAGCATCTGAGGGATTTCCACAAAATACACGAGCCTATTGCATCATTGCACACAACACTGTCATCGAGCACCTCCCACTCAGCGAAATAATCAAGAAATGGAACTGAATATGTGATTTTGCTTCAGTATCAATCGCAAAGTCAACATGAGAATAGCTATTGTAGATATTCAAGGTTTCATCATCGAACAACAATTCCATCCTGAGGAAATAGCCATTAGGATTGGAAATCAGTGTGGTAACTTTTAATTGCTGCCAAACAAACCATTTTCCTGTTTGAGTAAAGAAGATCGTAAACGATATCGATATCGTTTAGATTTTGTGAATTTAGAGGAGTATGACAATACATCGTGGATGGTTCCCACATTCGGCAACAACAACGAAGGTGTCTCACTCTACATGCACCACATTGACAACCGAACCAAATATAATTGCAGTCTCCGAAATGCAGATATTCTATACAAATGGCTTTATAATATATTACCAAAATGAAAATGTATAATAAATATTTGAAATGTTTCGTTCCTTTCTTTTAGCAAATTTCACCACCTGATGATGATGATGATAAAAACAAAAACGTTGCACGAAATCCAATGCCTCCAATGCCGCGTGTTATCGTTCCCCCACTTCCCCCATTTACCACCTAACATTTGGCAACGTTGCACAACCGAGTCAAATGCAATTACAACATCCGAAATACAGATATTCGATACAAGACTTTATAATTAACTATCTAAATAATGGAAAATCTATGCTACATACTTATAATTTCCATTTTCGCGTTCTCTAGTAAAAATTGTGACGTTAGAGTACCCGCAACCCCCTGCCATCTTCAATAATAAAAAAGTTAGCCTTCTATGCTTTAAAACGTTTGCAAATGCTTAATTATGTTTCTTGACATCGAGACGAATCCATTGATGTCGAAATTATCGAAATCGGACGACCGGAAGTAAAAACCGGATGAATCGTACAGATCCAAAACTTTGTTAATTCACATATTTGAAATATTTATCAATGACAAATTGCTGCTCGATTCTCTATCGTACACAAAACAACAACTGGTCATGTGACAAATTGCTACGATCTCATTGGCTGTGCCATGAAGCCGGCATAGATGCACTACTTGGCTGCTTCGTTCATTTTCATACAATGGTCAATGTTTCTATTCAATATATCTTGGGACCTAAAGTAATGCAGACATCGGTCACAAAAATAGTTGCAATGTTCTCTTTTACTTAATTGACTTGATAGAAGTCTAGATAGGTTCTTGATCCCAACAAAGTGAAATTTCATTGGAGCATCATTTCCTTTTTTGCCCTCTTCAAAATACAGCTCTTGCACCCAAAAAAGATTAACGTGTCTTTCCTTCTTATCCTTAGTTAGATATGTTGAAAGAGTTTCAAAGGATTGTTAATTTTTCTGAAGTATTTAAATGTTAATGGAAATGTTATTCTACTCCTTAAACTGAGGGATCTGCTTCAATGTCATAGAGAACTGGATACCTTTCAGCTTCAATACCATTAAATAGTGAGGATAAGATGACTGTTCATTTAGATGATATTGCGCCGGATACAGAGCAGAAACGACAGCCCAAGCGAAGCAAGCTTGGTCATTATTCTTAACATTGATACATGCATGCTTCTTTCGGATCTGAGGTGGCAACTCGATATATGATGATCCCAGTTGAGGAGTAAACTTGTTGATGTTAACACCCAGATTAACCACTTTTTTCAAAGCCCAGCCGGAATCACGTTCTTGGAACTCCTCGAGATCTTTCATTATTGGCTCAATAACTTTATGTTGGAACCATTCATCCAGATTGGTGTCTCGGTAAATTGGGGAGTTGGAGGTGGTGAAATACTTGTAATCTCGTAGTACTTGCGCCCCTTTCGCTATTTCAAATTTACCACAGAAAATAATATTAACTTTCACACATTCATCCTTTTTAAAGGCATCATGAATGTGCCGTTTAAAGATAGCATTTGAGTCAATCAAGAAAGACCTTGGGTCTTTATGTTTCAGATTTGAGATTACGGTAGTCCTGATTCGGTTACTGAAGGCTGAGTAAGTCTCATCCAAATGAACATGCTTCCTTACTATTTCATGTTGAAAAGAATGCCCTGCCCCTTTTTCTGCATAGCTTTGAATTCATTACGCATCGTCGTAATGTTCCTCAAACACGCTTATAAATGTTGCATCTCCCCCTCAGAAGTTGCATTCTTCATTGCTTTACGAATCCTTTTCATACCCTTGGTACACTCGTCAAGGCCCTCTTGAGCAAATTTATCATCATAATTTGGGGTTATGAGCCCCAGGATGGTGGTAATATATCGCACAAGATCATACTCTAATCAACAAGTTCAAAAACATGAAAAATAGAGATAAAGGTCCTAAAAATATGAGCGATAGCTCATTCGAGTCAGAATCACCTCTTAAGTTCACACCGGTAACTTCACATAGGTTCAAGAAATAAGAATATTTAAAAGACAAGAGTTTTAGTTATCCTACTATCTCTGGTAATTAACTTTATAGTGTTGATGTTGTTATCGTCATTTCACTTTATTTTTGTAGGATATTTACCGTGTACCTCGAATTAATTGATCTTGAGTACTTCATAAATAAGATTTTAAAAAATGCCAACAAAAGCTGTTTGTGTCCTTAACGGAGAAGCGGTTAAAGGGACCGTCTTTTTTCAACAAGTGGTAAGATATTTTGGTTTCAGTGATTATTTTAAAACTATCAAAGGAACTTCCATATATAATATAATGAAGATGTATCCTTATAATAATGGGTGCCGTGTGCACTGCTGGATCATGGGGCAAAGGGTGTTATGAAGTTGAATGTGTGACCTTGGTTCATAAATTTATATTCTACTATACGAATCATGCCTAGTCATTCTGACTACTAGATATCTTATTGTGTAATATTTCTTATTTCTGCTAGCAGAAAATGCTAACAAAGGCTGTTTGTGTCCTTAACGGGGAATCAGTGAAAGGAATGGTATATTTCAGTCAATGTGTAAGTTGATGCCTACAATCTATTTCATATTCTAAAAATCTGTCTACTGTAAAAATGACTAGCCAGACAAGGTTGCATCCAAAATTTTTGGGGGATTAATAATAAAATAAATTGAGTAGGAGTAAATTGAGATTTTATTGCATATCTCAATTACTATTAATCAATTATAATGTTAGATATACAGATAGTTTCTTTTATCTTTTGGTAACATTGCTATAGTCTAAACCATAACAGATATGAAAACGAGTAAATGAGAAAAAAAGGTAACTATCATGGGGAACAGTACAATGCTCAAAGAAAATTTACAGGAACTTGAGCTTTCCTCGAGCTATACAGAGAAACCTGAGTAAATCCGCTGCTTGGAACACTGTTCCGAACCAAAAAACTGAACACACCTCAAAAATTTTTATGCTTTAAAAAGCTTATATCAGATCTTCTTTGGAGAATTATTCTCATGTATGGAGCTTCGCCCCTAAGCATACCCTGAAGCTGCTGGATTCCATCAGGAAAAGAGCCATCCGCCTGATTGGATATGAGTGTACTAGTATTCGCAAAATTGGACCAGTTTCTTATACAGTATCCCAATGTTTTGAGGGCCGACGAGATTGTCTTTGATATATGATCCATAAAACTTAGTTTAGGATCAAATAAAACTCCCAAATCCTTTATCCTTGCAACCTTAATAGTCTGGAACATTGAAGAAAGGTTTGAGATTTGTCTCTTTTTTATAGATACTTTCACGGAAGGTGTTCAAGTGACTTTTCACATTTGATTCTACCTAGAGCGGTACATATCAGTAATATGTGACAGACTGTGACGCTTGTCTCTTTGGTTCAACTCAGTACACCTCGAATCTCTCTGTTTAAGAACTGTTTCATTTGGAGAACTGCATTTATGTAAAATAAACTTCTGAGAACGTTTTCCCAAATGAATTTAATCATCAGCAATTCAAATCCAACGTGAATCGCTACTTTCACACAGGCACCGCTTTTGGAGCGCTTTAATGATTTTGCTCTAGTGCTTGTGTTTCGTCCTTGAAAAAAAATCATAAAAATGTTGTTTCAGGTTTTTACAAATAAAATTGTTATTTCAGAAAAAATAACAAAGGAAAATGAAAGTTTTATTGTATTACAATAGTACTATAACAATGTAATAATAAATCTTTGATGGAATGTTTCATGCCACTACGGCCGTCATCTAATTTTTTTTTCAAATATGTACTTGTTTCTTTCATTACAAACATTGAAAAAAACAATAAAAATCACAATTCAGTGATATATCACACTTGATATTTTTATAGCATTTCATTTAAAATGAGTAGCATCATCAGTGACAACAGTCAAACAGAATAACATATTATTTTATAATGAATTTTTGGGGGAAAATAAAACCAATACAGAAAATGAATTCTACATGACAAACTGTGCCAGAACTGACCTCCTCTTTGTTGAATACACGTAAGTTGTACAATTTCTGCATACAATTTCTACATACAATTTCTGCGACAATTTTCTAGCATGATAGGTGTAATGACATGCATCTCTTATTTTTAGTACTGTACTAGATGTCGAAAAAACGTTATCCTTTATGTATCCTCAGAAAAAAAATCTAAAGAAGTAATTACTGGGAGATGTCGTATATGTCAATAGTTGAATACATTTTAAAGAAATCTAAACAATTTACAAAAGAACTAACGACAGGTCTGTAATTAAAAATTGTTTTTACTGATGATGCTAGTTATTTTGAATCAAACACTATAAAAATATCATTGAATTGTGATTTTGTCGCTTTATAAATATTTGTAATAAATGAGACAAGTCCGGATTTGAAAAAAAATTAAAGGTGGCTGTGTTGAAACTAAACTTTTAACACTTAGAGTGCCACCATGAGAAAACCGTTTAGAACTTCTACTGGCAGCATTTTTTTATGCTATTGATATTAATATCAATATATGTGTAAAGAAAACGCAAATTGGTGGACCCCGTTGACCCACCACAGCCTTTACCCACTCGAAATTCCACTGCCGCTGCGGTAGGCACGGATGAGCGACAGCATCTGATGTACGCACGTCATTCTTGCTCAGTTTAGGTTCGGCGTAGTCGTTGACTTACGTATCAACTGAAACTGATACGTCAATAATAATATTAATAATATAGCTTTTATTACCCAATAGTTAAAAAACATTTACAGGGTTAACTAGTGATTTGAATACTTCAAGTTGTTCTTACATTAATATTTATATACTACAGATAACCATAATTGAGACTACCTACTAAAAATTACCTAAATCTCTACCTAAGGTACCTCTTCAATTATAATCACCTGAAGCATATTACCTTACATCTACATCAATAATGATTC